ACACCGAACTAATATAATATTTAAGGATCTATAGTTTATCATACTAGAGTTTGTTATGATAAAACTCGTAATTCCTGATATATACGTATATAAATTTTTAAACACTTGTTACTAACTCTACTCTTATATATTAATGCTCTTTATGTTTTAAAACCTCTTCAACATAACTTAGAAACTGCTTTATCTATTTCTAAAAAAAAAGTTGGTACTTTTAGTTTTTTTTAATAACCTAGAGACAGGTTTAATTTCTGTTTTTTACTTGTAAAATGTTATATTCTTAAAAAGTACTTTAAACTGTATAAATACAAGAAATTCCAATATACTTTGTTTTATACTTTATACTTCAAAACCTGATTAAAATTATTCATTATTAATACTAATTATCTCTTAAACTGTTTCTCCTGCAAATCTGCCCTGAAATTTTTTAAAAATTTGTTTTTACCGAAATATCATGATCTAGTGATCAAAATTCAATGATCTTGATACTATTCAATTCGTCTTGACAAGACAATTTGAATGGTGTCAAAATTATCAAAATTTTGATTACTATATCAAGAGATATTTGCTAAAAACAATTTGCAACACAGCTCTATAGAAATTTAGCCGCAGATAGTATTTCGCAAATATCTCATGATCTAATAAATCTAATTTAATTCTTTTGATACCAATCGAACCGTCTCGTCAAGACAAATCGAATAGTAACAAAATCGTTAAATTCCAGTCACCAGATCATGATATATTAACATTCAAATAATATTTACCGTTAAACCGTTTCTTCAAATCTGTCCTGAAATGTTGAATTTTGATTGGCAACTTATATAGCACTTGTATTACCTTATGAATTAAATAATATTTTCATACTTATTTACAACGTATTTTATCTTACATTATTTTTTTTGTGTATTTTCAATACACGTGATTATCAGAAAATTTTAGGGCAGATATGCCCTGAATTTCAAACAGTTTAAGAGATAGATCTGCCAAATCTGAAATAAGGATATTGATGATTCGTTAATAACAAAGCGAATTTCCACTATTCAAGAGTCATATACATCCATGCTCTATGCGAATTGGTATATATATCATTTGAGCAAACGAAAAAAAAATAATGGAGCTAAAGAAATCTAATTTTTTTAATCCTGGCCATATTACTGTGTTCGATCAAGATATTGGAGAAGAAAGGCAATAAATAAACCAAGAAGCAAATAACTGGAATCGTGAATTTGCAGTAGGCAAAAAGAGTTGCAAGCCATGTGAATAAAATATACTAATAATAAGTATTCACTCCAAACATGTGTGACTATATTAAATATATGTATACCTAATGCATTATAAACTATTTATATTAACTATATATAAACTATTATTTATATTAACTATAAACTATTTATTTATGTTAACTATATATATAAGCTATTATTTATGTTAACTATATATATAAACTATTTATTTATATTAACTATAAACTATTAATTATGTTAACTATATATATAAACTATTTATTTATGTTAACTATAAACTATTATTTATGTTAACTATAAACTATTATTTATGTTAACTATAAACTATTTATTTATATTAACTATAAACTATTATTTATGTTAACTATAAACTATTTATTTATGTTAACTATAAACTATTATTTATATTAACTATAAACTATTTATTTATGTTAACTATAAACTATTATTTATGTTAACTATTTCTTATAGTTTATAGTTCACAAATACAAAACATGTGTGACTCTACTTATATGAGTGTTAATAGTCGCACATAAATTGGGGTGAATCTAAACATATGTGACTATACTTATATAGTTGTTATTAGTCACACATAAATCAGGGTATATTTGTAAACAAAAATCAAACATAAATTGGAGGTAGATTTGTAAACAAAAAAAACAAACATAAATTGTACATTTTTATCCCACTAATTATCTCATTTTAAATAACGTTGCTTGATCTTAAAATGAGTAAAAGTTCACAAGAAATACAGGTCGAGTCGATTATTTTACAATCCTTTAAATATGTACAATCTATTAACACTCTACACACAAATAGACAAGAACTCTCAAATTCAAGAGCTTAAAAAAGAAATATCAGAACTTCACCAGAAGTTATCAACTCTTAGCAAAATAAATGAAAATAATAAGCGATATGCAGATGAATAAGAATACGTATTTATTAAAATTAATTAACAAAAATTATTACATTGATGAATATTTAGCCAAAAACTATAGCCGAAAATTTTATCAATCAATATAAGGTTCTAAAAAATAAACGGTTATTTGTAAGTTACCTTATATTTTTTTTTCTGTTTTTTTTTTTTTTTATTAAAATTTGCTAAATAACTTTTTAAAAGCATGAGCAATTAGAGTCTGCCAGATTGGTAATTAAACCAAAAAAGCAAAAAAGAGAAAAACGAGTAAATATAGATGACAAAGAAACATGGAAAACAGGATTGGAAAAATCTAAAGTGAAAATTTGCATTTATATAATTACCCAAATCTGTAATGCTAAGTCTTCTGGCAACCGTTTGGAGGAGATAGAATAATGGAACAATGTCAAAAATCAATATGAGAAATCTAACAACAAAGATAAATTCTTTAAAGATTTCGAAAAAAATTGCTTTGAAAAAAAGGCAAAAAAAGTCTTGAAGAAAGATGCGTTTATTACCTATTAGGAGATCATATATTAAATAAATATCCAGATAAAAAAGGGTGTCTTAATAAACTCGATTTTTTGGTATATAAGAATGTCACGACGATTTATGATTTAACATGAGTGCATTTCTTAAAGCTCCCTTTTCAACTTAGTTTTTTTGATAGCAAATATTGTATTTATTTTATTTTATTTCTTTTTCTCTTCTTTTTTTATCAGTTTATTTTATTGATTTATTAATTTATTAATTAAATTTTATAGCTAAAAGACAAAATATTATCTCGTTAATCAATTAGCTCAGATTTTATATAGGATATAAGTTAAATTAAATACAAGTATTTATTAGTATTCTTAAGTATTACATTCTTAGTTTTAATTCTTTAATCCTTTAATTCTTATAGGTGATGATGTTGAATTCGCTAAAATTAACGATAATAATACAGTTACAACTTTTATCAATAATAACCAAGGTAGTGAATCTATCGATAATCAAGGTAGTGAATCTATTGATGATGATGATCAAAGTAGTGAATCTATTGATGATGATCAAGGTACTGAATTAATTGCACGTATTTCGAATTAATTACTTGTACTTTGGATTAATTACTTGATCACTTTAACAAATATTTTTTGAGATGAAATTTATTCAACGTGATATGTTTTACTTGCAATGAAACTCTGTTTATTTTTACATTTATTCTTTGACTTAATTTGTTTGTAAATGTAAAGAATTGTTGTTACCATTTAAAATAAATTGACAATTATTATAAGTCAATAAATTGTTTTTAACGTGATTTAATATTTTGAAAATAATTACGATTAAATGATTAAATATTTAATTAAATCTTTAAACTTCACAAATACTAATTTAATTTTAATGTTAATTTAGATTCAATAAATAAATGTTCTTTATGTAGCCAGAATTTTTTGGTACCACTTCCTGCACATTTACAACAATTACAAACATTAAATATTGTAGATCAATTTGAAATTTGTCAGTTTCATACTGCAGAAGCTACTATCGTTCCAGATGGACTTAGCAAAAATTATCCTAAAGTTATTGACTTCAAACAACTACCTGAACGTGTCAAGAACTTATATCCAGAATTGTGGATGATCATTACTAAAAAAGCAGAAAGTATATTCAGAAACACTGCGATAGAAAATCAAGCTGCCAGAATACCACTCATAGAAAAATTTGAAAAATTTCAAGTACGTGATTTTTTTTTGACATTAAATTCATCAAAATCATGTTTAATTTTAATTTGATTATTTAGTCAGGTTATTATGGTTTTAAAGGAATGCACATTATTCTTAGAACTCTTGGAACTTTTTTTATTGAATCCAAAAAATTGTCTTCAAATATGATATATCCTTTAAGTCCTATGGAGTATCTTGTGGAAGTGCTTGTCCCTGAAACTGCCATTAGATTAATTGCTCGAGATTGAAATATTTCATTATTAGAATCAGCAGAAGTAATGAAAGATAGTACAAACTTTGGAATGTATATTCATGATGTAGAGGAGGACAATATTTATGAAATAATTGATAACAGTTTACTCTAATGTATAGCAATGAAATAATAAAATACATTTATTATAAAACGCACCTATGGTGGTTTTGCACCTATGATATGTTTTTATTATGTTTTTCAAAATTTTCTGTTTTTATAAGTTTCGTATATAAAATTTTTAATGCCAATTTTTTCATGTGAAAGTTAATACTTAAGGTTAGCATTAGGTTTGAGAAGGGTTTTTGGAAGCGTAAAACATTTTTACTTAGAACATATCGCACCGATTAATTAGCCAGCTTTTGAGATAGTCTATGCATAGATGTAAAACATCATAGGTGCGTTTTAGTAAAAGTTATAGAATAAATAAAATTCATTTTAACAGCTAATTCAATTTTTTTAATTCTAATCTAAATTTTCATTGTAGTTACAATACTAAAAATTATTTAAAGAGAATTTCAATTAACAGATGAATAAATTTTTTTTGGCTAAATTGAAATTCATCAATTCAACTAATTGAAAGTGAAATATAATGTAAGCTTACGATTCCAAATTTATACTTATTCTCAAACAAAGTACTTTCAAAATTTTCTTGATTAGCAATCATATCGACAACAAAAAAGTTGTAACAAAAGCAACTGAAAAGGATGTATAATTTCTGGTATAAAAAAATTAAATTTTGATTCATAAATTATAGTTTTGGTTGTTAGATTATATTTTTTATTATGAAAACTTTCTTAAATATAACTTATATTAAAATAAAAAATATTACCGTATTACTGCAAAATAACAACCATGGGCGTTATTTCGAGGTTCGGCCTGAATTAAGCTAATTTAGGCCGAAATTCATAATTTTACCCCTGCGCATTATTTCGTGGTAATATGGTAATAGTAACAATGTGCTTGAATTTTAGCATTATAAATATTAAAAAATAAAATTAACTGTATTGGTATGTTTAATCAACATCATCGATCTAAGAAACCTCCGCAGTACTCAATGCTGCAATACTTGTAACTTCGTTATCAAATTAATAGTTATGTTATAAAAGTGTTTGAAGCATCCACTTACTATTAAAGCCATGGAAATCAGTTTATATTCTTATAGATGCATGCCAAGCTTTTTTAAATAACCCTTTCTTACCATCTTGCTTCTATTCTATTATATTGAACATTGAACTGTTACATCAGTACACGATCATTAACTAAGAAAAGCTACAAAACGCAACCCAATACTTGCAAAAGCTTGCTGCATTGACCTTTCAGTACCTGGATATGATGCTGAAGAAGAATTAATATTACTAAACGATTGTAATAGCTTGGTAGTGAACAACACTAACAACAAAAAATTTAACCCTGCAACAATTGTCAGATCTGGACTAAAAGACATTGACACTGTTGACTCTACTATAAATATTCTCTAATTACAAGGAAGATTTCTTAAATGCCTCTAACTAATCAAAATACTATTAATAACTAGAATCATTAAATAAAATCTCAATGACAAATAAAAAAAGCATATGCGTAAGTGATTATTTTGACGATGAATTTATCTATAAAATTAACAATTAACATGTGAACTTTCAAAATAACTAACGTTAATTCGGTTCAAAATCAAGAATTCAGATTTCCTACTATGAATTAGTGAAGGTAACGAGCCTGTATATTTCAAGATTGGAGATGACTTAATAAAACTACCAAATGCTATAACTCTTGAAAATAAAACCTTGAATCTCTAATATCTGAAACATTTCCTGAAATTGAAAGAAATTGCATAATAAAAATTATATTTGGAATGACAATCTAATACCAGATATTGATAAAATTAATGATAAAGTTATAAACATCTTTCTAGAAACTGAATGAACTTGCAGATTCTGTAGCAGAAAGTAATACGGTTCATCAAAATTTATACTTTATAGAATTTCTTACCAAATGGAATTCCTCTGCATAAGTTAATACTCAAAGTTGGTGCACCCGTTATGATTTTACACAACCTCAAATCTGCTTAGGGCTTATAGCAGAAATCCTAACTGATTCACACTCTGGCAAGTGCATGTTTGTTTCTAGAGTTTCTTTAACTCCAAATGATAGCTAACCCCTTTCCAGCTAATACGCTATCAATTTCTGATTCGCTTATCCTTTGCTATAATAATTAATAAAGCACAAGGGCAAACAATTCCACATATGGGTTATCATAGCATTCGATACTGTTAGTGTACAGTTATACTGATAGATTGGTAATAATAATATAATGATCGTTAGGTATTAGCGGAAACAAAGTTTCTGCTTATATATATAATTAACTGTGATCTTGATATAGTGATCAGGATTATTTTGGTAACGATGCATTCAGAAAAAAAATATTGCGGTAGATGCTGAGATTTGAGGCCTCTATTTTAAATATATAAAATCTATATATATATTTTTTATTAACAACTCTAATCCTAATCCTAAAACTTTTAAAAAAAGCACCTTAGAAAATTTTACCCTGATGCATAAAATTCAAATTAAATCTCAGCACTTGTAACATCTGTTAAATAGTATATGCTTTGTAATATGCTTATTTGTAAATGTGCTATCACTTTATTTTCAAGAAATAAAAAAACTATTGAGATACAAAAAATATATTCTTACAAAATGCTCATAGTTACATAGCACATAAAAACTTAAAGATTTCTTTGTATAAAATCAATAAAAAAGAGTCTCTAGCAGAACTTCGATTTTGGAACAGGTGTTGTCTTATTGTAAAACACGAATAATTTTGTTCTTAGCGATGACTTAGGTAAGTAATAAAATATGATTCAGTTCAACGCATTAGCAATGGAATAAATAAACTGATTGAACTCACTAGTTGTCTCGTTAGAATTGAGACCAAGGGTAATAGAGTATTTTCTATCTTGCAAAACTAACTTGATGATACCTTGTTTCATAGAAGTACCGCCTCCATAATAGTATTCAACCGTTTCTGTTGGATAGCAAAGTCATGCCATTAGTGCATAAAATAACTATTGTGAGATGAAATAATCGAAGTATAAAAAAAAAACAAACGTATGATTGTTTCTGTAAGTTATTTTAAATACTAAAATATATCAAGTTTGAGTATGTTATCTTGTTTGTAAGGTAGACAAATTTAAAGCAAAATATTTTTTGTGTACAATAACGATAACCTTGAGAAAAAAAAAGATTTATAATGATAATCAACTTAAACTGTTCGAAACAATAGCGATTAACGGACACGTCCACCTACGATGTCCAAAATTTTTATGTTTAGTCATTTATACAGTTTAGAGTACTTTTCCTTTTTCGAAAATGTAATATTTCACAAGTAAAAAAATATTTGGTATCTCAATTGAGGTATGTACTTTACTTAAAAAGTTTCTATCATATGTTATATTATACCAATACTGTATGTTATTGATCAGCAAATATGTCTCTTAATTAAGAGGTTTACATATCAGAGTTTTGCTAGAAAGTATACCCCTGAGAAATAAATTGATCGATGAATTTTAAATCCATCCCTTAACGCTATTACTTACTGTTAAATAGGATCTGATGTGAACAATACAAAAAAATATCGCATATCATATTCTAACTGTAAATTGAAAAAGTGGTAACTATATATGGTTTTTTGTCTGAAAGGCTATTTTTACAGTAGCATATTCCAAGATTCGTAAATAAATTTTACATGTAATTATATAAAAATTACTAACGATAATCTTTGCGTCATTTAGAATCCTGATTACGATCATTCGTCATGTAGATTACATAGACAATACACGAACTATTGCTTTCAAGCTAAGTACACAATTTTTATAGAATCAAATGATCGAAGCATTCGTATTTGTATACTGATCCTTATAAGCCAATTGTGTATGGAACTTTTGGTATTGATCAATATAAATTTTGGTATATAACGATAATAGATCAAATATTTATTTTCTGATAGCCATCAGAGAACAAATTATAAAAGGTAGTTTCATGAATTTGTGCAAGATTAAGGCTTAATTTGAGTAATGTTTTAGCACGTATTCTAGCAAAGCAAATTATAAATCCGTCTTTGAGCGCTTGGCATTTTTGACTATGGAGAATCCTCAAATATCTATCGTTTCTTCTTTCTTCTCTAGTTCGATCTTTGCTATGATATTGAACATTTTGATAATTTCTTTTCTTTGCTTGACTTGTTTTAATGATTTTGACTAGTGATGGACAAATGGCTGTTTTTCTACGTGGAATGCGAGATCACACACGGGATTATATGCGGATCACGCGCATGCCCATCACTAATTTTAATATATCCATTGATATCTTTAAATTGTGGCACAGACAATTTGTTCATCTCTGCAGAAGACTTTGATCTAAAAAAAGATGATAAAGAAAATCACAGCAATAGTCGTAAAATTGATATTGTTTGGGCTACTAAGCCTCTAAAAATAGAATTTGCTATTGCAGAAATAAGCGGACCTCCAAATGAACACCAACATTCTCATTATTTTAGTGACAAAATCAAAATAGCCAAGATGTTAAAAATTATGTTGAATAGGATAATGCGAGTATATGGCAGCACAAAAATAAACTTAAATCTTCTAAAGCTTTATAGGCTACAAGTCTATAGTGAGAATTTATTGAGCTACAATGCTTTTTTCTTTGCAATTAACATTAAATACCTAAATAATATTTATAGATCATACAGTAATTGTATATGAGCTTTTTATTTCATATAAAGGAGTTTACATTTTTAGAGAAGTTACTAAAACTAATCTGCCAATGACAAGTATTAATATATCTTTATTATGTCGATATATGCTGACTTTTCTGTTTTTTAAGGTATTAACTTATTTTATTATTATTATTATTATTATTATTATTATTATTATTATTATTAGTTATTATTATTATTATTATTATTACTATTATTTTTATTTTAATTTATTTTTTTTAACTTTATATTTAATAATAATATATGTTTTAAAGAAATTATAATTAAGAGTTTACGAAATATAAACCAATACATTATAGAGGATATAAGATAACTTTCTCGTGATTGGTCGATCACACAAATTGAATATCATGCCATGATTGGTCACTTTGCAGATC